CACTAAAGCGAGTGCAACATTAAAACCCAAATGCTTGTCGTGACTATCAGCGCCCAGGCGAAGAGTATGCCCGCAGCGAGTACTAAAGTAGATATGCCAGCATGGGTTTCAACAATTTGGTGCCCGAGAGCAGTTCCTGTGACCTGCAAGCTGGGCCACCACGTGCCTGCTCTATGGCTTTCGAAAATAGCATTCGTGCCGAAACCAGAGTACAAGTAGCGTACATTCTGCAATCCTTCTCAGATGCAAGCTCAAGTTGCGAAGCTGATATGCTGCAGCATTTCTGCAGAAGCAGCACTCAATCAAGTCCAAATCCTCGCTCGATCAAAGGTCTCCTTCCATCCAGACCCAAACCCTACAAATATTGAATACACGGCGCAGAATGCATGGCCCAAGTCCGGGTTCCCTGACGTCCACTCCGTGGCCAGCATGGAGTCCAGCGATGCCACATCATTCCTAACTTTTCTAGTCGATTATCCAGCAGCAATCGTGCAAAAGACGTCAAAAGCCATCCCAAAACCAGTGGTCTAAAAAAACAGCAAAAAGTTGCAATTCAAGAATAAGGTTTCAACGACTTCGATGACAACGCCAGGAGGATGAACAACAGCACGTAGACCCTTCGTCCACAGTGCTGCAGAGTAAAACATTTTGTGCTTCGATGCAGGATTTCACGGACATGGTTGAGGGCCTCATGTTTCAGGTGCCGTCTAATTCCGTGCTCATTGCTCTTGCAGGATCAAGGAGTTAGTACGATTCAGGGATACAAGGCCACTGGGAAGTGAACGCAGATGGGTTCCACAGGCATGCAGTCTGCATACCGTCTAGCATCATGTCACTATCAGCGCTGACGGTTGTTTACAAAAACAACATGCACTGCACCATCTGGCCAGGGCTACCCGCGAGCTTGCCATCTGGAAGCTACTAAAGAACTGCCAGTCATTGCCAGTCTGTCGTGAAGGCTCCAAAACACTTCCTTTTTGAGGCGCGGGCGAGGCAGAGGTGTCGATAAGTAAGTTGTTCAGATAGAAGCCGACCTCGGTTCTTTTACTGGGGATTGTCCTAGGAAGCCACTGAAGATCTCAACTATGCTCACGGTAGACTAATACCAGGTGAAGAAGAGCCTTCAGAACGAATGCCGGACGCCACAGGACTTCGCTTGCAAACGATCCAATCCCGGATGTCAATGCCTCAATGATGACAAAAGCTCAGAACCCTGCGTCCAATTTTTAGAAGGGTCATCTCAAATCCAGAGCAGATACCAAAAAGCAATCCTTTGCCCCTTATCACCAACACAAGCTGGAAATCCTTAAATGTTGCAGTTCGCATGGTAGTTCATGGCTTGGCCCGCTCACCAATTCCGGCTCCGCCAGTGTAAGACAGAATTTACATCCTGGTTTGCAGCTGAGAAGCAGAAGCGAAGTAGAAAGAAAAGTTGTCAACCTCGATGCCCGTCCCCCGTTGCCAAGTTTTCAGTGCCGAGGCTAGAGTCAGGACTTCAAAGGTCTCGGGACCTCAAAGACAGGTACTGGTACGACAACTGATTTGAAGACAGTGCTTCATGGCTTTTTGGATTATGTTTCAGGGTGCTTGCCGCAGCTTGGCGGGGAACCGTGCCAGAATGACCTTGGCAGAATTTTTGTTGCAAGAAGACAGCCGCATCTGTCGCAAGCATTTCCTAGGCACTCCAGCTTGTAATTCAGCGGAAGCAAGTCAGCTAAAGATCATGCAAAACACAGAATCCGATTGACTCAAACACCTCTCTCTGCCATCGCCCTTCGTTTGCACAATTGTTCACGTCCTCGTCATCTCCAATGTGGCCGCAGCCATAGACACAATTGTTTCCAGCGCTGATTTGGGAAACATCCACAGCAAACTGTTCAGCTGGGAATGAACGGACTTCCTTTCAATCTCGCCGCCCAAGCGCCAAGTTGGCGCCAAATCCCACTTGCGGAAATCCAAATGCGGCGCGCATCTGAAAACAATGAGCTCCGCGCCTTGGAGCATCGTCGCATACCAGCGCTAAATCTAACGCCTCTTTGCAAAATGACTCTCTTCCTGAGTTCGTGCAAGCCAGAACCCGCTAAACCTGAACCCTGCAACCTGCTGAGCTCCCTGCAATGTTCAGATTCCTGGGCCAGGAGGGAGTTGCAGAAGCAGAACGCACGGCACTGAACAGAGCTGAAGTCGCGATTCAGTGCGTTTATTACCATTTCCTGCTTTCCGAAGCTGAATGAGACGCAGCTCATCAAATGACGCCCCACACCCTCTTTTGTCTCACTGGGTCGCTCCGGCTATTAAAGTTTCCAATCATCATCCTGTATGGTCCCGTGGTGGGCAATTGAGTTGATGAGCCTGAGTCCAGAACGTATCCTTTTCCTGGCATATGGTAGGGCAACTTCAAAGGCAGAAACACGACTCTCCAGATCAGTCAAGGCTCTGCGTGATGACTTTCAGGTCCCGGGACCGCATGACGCCGACGTTGCCTTTGCTGACCTGTGCAGGTGATAGCGCCTACCTGAAGAGAAAACAACCTCGCAGCACAAAAATGAACCCGAAACCACAATCCTTCTACATATCAAAACAGAACCTCTGAAACCCAGCCGTCCTTGGTGTAGAAGAGGGCCGCCGCGTTGAACGAGGATTCTCGGCCCTTCTCCCAAGCGAGTGCATCCACATGCTTCGATGCCTCTCCTGGCTGAAGCCCGACAGTTTTGAGCGGTCTTGCAAGCCCCGAGATTTTTCACTAATGCTTGGGGGTTCAAGGCGGAAAGGGCCAGCTGCAGCCAGTGGTTAAAGCGGCGCACTTCGATAAACCTAGAGGGCTGCCAGCATGGAATATCAAATTCTCTTCTGCAACACGAACTATAACACCACGCTATTGCTGTAGGGTCTGTCAGCTGAGAAGCCAAGGCAGGGATGCTACCCATTTGGAAAGCCCTGAAACATGAAGAGGATGAAGAAAGAAGCACTCTTCAAGCTTACAGCTCTGAGAAGCATCAGGCAATGCTGCCGCTTCCTGCCGCGTTTCGCGGGCAGCCGCATTTTGGATAGGCACTGAGAAAATCATGCTACCTCCATATCTAAAAACCAGGTGGTGGGTGCAAACCTTGATCCCAACAGGTAGGATGTGGCACTTAACCACAACCAACAAGGCCGAAAGCCACCCTTGTACATGTACGAGTTGCTTTTCCACGTTGAAAACTCTTACTCAAAGCCAGTGACAAGACCACATTGTGAAGACCTTTTGCACCAGGGATAATGAAAGCCTGGGCCAAAAAGATTCACACTTTTGTCTCACCAACACGCGCGAATACCCTCTCCATGTCAACTCTATATGGTCTCTTCCCAACACGACAATGACAATCGCCAATCGCTTATACGAGAGGTTGTCAAATTCTGTTGCCAACAGAAGAATTGTAATTACTGCAGCCCCTCAGGTTGAGAACATCTTCAGACCCACTTCCGGCATCCTAGCATGAAGGAACGACGTATGATACAACAACTTGGGAATAGTAGTTCTGTGAGCTGACTCATACCCACACGCCAACGGAGCCTCTCATTCGAACATTGAAGCCAGCGAAAATGTCCTGGCACGAGATGAGGATTTGCATACATGCGAGCCAGCTTCATGTGCGCAATCGTGGCTTCAACACATCGCAGCTTCCAATTCCTTGCACAAACACGCCAAAAAAAAAAAAACACGGAACCCTCAGCCAGCATCCTGC